GGTCAACAAGCTGCCTTAGCTAGAACCCTTGAAACGTTCCATTTAGATGTATGCTCTCTTCGAAACACACACACAGGACCATAGTTCAATCATCTTGAGTTTTCCAGATCCGGCTTCATCCTCACACTTCACTCTCTGTGTCAGGCGATTCGGCGCCTGAAGCTAGCGGTGTTGCTGGTGTTGGGATTGCGCTGTGTCAAGGCCGAGTGTTGATTTCTTGATTGGATCCCGGTTAACAGCCGACTTTGCGCTGGATGGTTCAGTACTGATCAACAGCTACAGTACGAGGCGTCAATTATTCGTCGTATCGGTGAAAGCGCTGACCGATTGCAATACGCCAGAAATGAAAGATGAATTCTACAAGGACCACTCTCAACTGCTCCAAAATGCTCGGTCAACGGATATCGTGGTAGTCGCTGGAGACTTTAATGCTCAAGTTGGATCCCTGGAGGAATCAGAAAGGCTACTTTTAGGTTTACGTACAATCCCAACTAACCGAACTGACAAAGGAGAACGCCTACTCCAACTTTGGGCTGACCACGGACTGTTTCTATCAAGCACGAACTTCTAGCACAAGAAACGATACATCTAGACCGCCAACTTCTTCACGGCACTGGACTCAAATTGACCACATCACCATCAGCCACCGCGGGCGAGGATCCATTGAAGACTGCCGCTCCTACTAGTCAACATCCGTGGACACGGACCATGCTCTGCTACGAGCGAGATTCTCACTACAACTAGTAAACAACCGCCGAAAACGGATACGTACAATACAGTGTCAGCAATGGATGCAAATCAGCCTTTGACGTGGAACTATCAGATCGCCTCTCAGCTCAACTACCTGCTGGAGGACTCAGTGAAAACTAGACGGCAATAAACAGAGTGATCAAAACAACGTAAAATTCGGACACACGATCAAATCAAAAGTGATGGATCTCCCAGACCTCGGTTGCCTTGCTGGACGCTCGCAAAGCCATTCCTTCGGATTCAAAATACGACACAGCACGCAAATCCCTTAAACGCCAGTTAATCAAGAGTGAGGAATGATCGCGGGAAGTGTAGAGGAATGGAGAATGATGCGGTTATAGGTAATAGTCGCAATTTTTTCCGAACATTTAGGAGTACATGACCAACGAAAGCAGGTGTAAGTGAGGTAATTAAGGAGTGCGACGGCACACTGATTTATATTTAGCAACGTCGTCTAGATTGATGGACAGAACATTTTAAAGCTCAGTTCAGCTGGCCCTCGTCAGCACAAGACCTGCCTATACCCGGTTCAACTGTGCAAATACTGATGGTTGACATCAGTTCTCCATCTGAAATGTAGGTTACCCGAGAAATAAGGTATAAGACTTCCGGCCCCGACGGGCTGTCCTCATCGGCTTTTAAGAATGGAGGCTCAGCCTTTTTGGAGTTACCGAAACGCAGTATAGAAAGGGCAACAGGTCCTAAATCAATGGTTTGAATCGGTGATCATACCGATTTACAAGAAGGGAGACGGGTCCTCTTGTGAAAACCACAGAGGAATTAGTTTATTCAACATTGCCTCTAAACTCCTCACCGGCATCATACTCCGTCGATTGTCTGCCGCACGCGTAAGAACCAGGCTGGCTTTAGATATGGACGAGGTTCTATCGACCACGTCCCCCCGCCCCTCGAAGCCTTTGGTTAGAAAGCCAGACCTGCAAGACAACAGGACGGAGCTCAGAATCCGCAGTCCATTGGGGGCTAGTGTCCAGTTCACTGAATCATACGCTCTTTGGACGAGGTCAAATGTCCAAGGTGCCCAATCGAGCCGGTGCTCACTGCCGTGACGAGCAAGGTGTGCTTGGGGTTCATACGCCTCTTCTTGCTTGGTTTGGAATCAGGGTTTTTAGCCAACTCCCTTAGGTGAACTGCAAATGGTTCACCTACCCGTTTATAGCCCCGGATGTCGGCTTTTCGTCCCCTCACTTTGGTGCGGAAAACACCTCCGCCACGAGAAGGCAGTGAGTAGGGTTTCCTCAGCAGAGTTTATTTGAGACGCTTAGTCCTATAGGAGCATTTCGCGAGGTGTAAGNNNTGACCAGTCACAATCTCAGACACCCAACCCAACCACACTGAGGCTTTCAATCGCTTTATACTAATAGCCGAAGTCGAGTCCTAGCTTACGGCACTTTTTCACCCGAGTTCACGAGACGCGGTGTTCGTCAGGGTTGCCTTCTCTCTGCTTTTCGATTCAATTTTGTTATAGATTTGATAATGGAAACAGCGCTATCCTCGTGCGAAGATAGTAGCATCGATTTACTTCCAGGTGGGAGGCTATCTGAACTCGAGTATGCAGACGATATTTTGATGCTAAGTGAAGATCCAAGTAAGTGACAAGCTTTTCTGGATAGTTTGAGTGCCAGTGTAGCCATGTTCGGTATGCGTTGTGCACCTTCAAAGTGCAAAATGCTACTACAAGGCTGGGTT